TATACAAAAAATATTCTAAAGCTTAGCCCACATATATAACGATCTTCGTCTCAATTTATATGACATCATTTAATTAGATATAAATTTACAAAAGAAAGAAGAATTTTAGAAATTATAATTTAAAACAAACCTTAGAATCGTCATTTAATTAATAGGACTATAGATTAGTCTTGTTGGTATACTTGTGTCATTTAATTGGACTATATATTAGTCAAGTTGGTATACTTAAATATTTCATCTCATGTTGGTATACTTGCACTATTCTTTAATTTTATTTATATGATATGAGGTTCATGTTAACCGGTGATAAAAATTAATTTATTTTTCCATGACAAAATAAATTAATGGTAAATTTAGTGAGTGATTTTGAAAGATAAAAGTAAGTGATTTTATTGATACAAAATAAAATTTAATAACTTTGCTACATAAATTTGGATAGTTAAGTAATCTTTTGAGATATTAGCTTCATTAAGGGGGGAATTTAATCGTGAAAATTGTGAGTGTTTGAATTTTTTTTAATACAAAGTAAGAAATGATATGTGAAAAAGAAAAAGGCCATTCCTTCCCGAAATATGTGAAAAAGAAGTAGGGGTCAGATAAACTAAAATAATGAAAGTACTTTGGGATTTGAAATTTGAAATTGTGATTTAATATTTTCTAAATATAAAACATGACCCACAATTTTTTATTTTTTATTTTTTTAAAACACCATATTCTAAACTTTTTGCACACATCATAGAAATAGTTATTAATTTTTTTCTGTATCTCCCTTTAAACATTTTACTTTAACTAATATTTTACTAATTGAATAATAAGAACAGAAAGAAGTAACTCTAATGACTCTTTATTGTTCAAGACATCAAATATTTTGAACAAAATTAATTTGTCAAAACAATTAATATTTGAAATCAATCATAATATACTATATTGCTCACCCTATATGACCAAAGAGGAAAGAAAACAAATAATGAAGGTCCTCAATTATGTATATATGGTCCACAAATTTAATTTACGTTATAATGATAATGATAATAATAATAACTGAAAAGAAGTGAAATGAAAAGTGAATAGAGGGCCATAGATGGTGAAATGAAATTGGATATGGTGCATGAACCACTACAATCATTTTCCTCAAAATTCATATGACAAATATTCTGATTATTTGTATGTAAAACATGTTAAATAAATCTAGAAGCGTTAACGAAACTTAACTAAGGGCTTCTTAGCAAAGGTGTCATCGTCTTAAAATCGAAAAACTAATATGAGCCAAACTATTAATGAAAAATATTGATGTATCATTTTGCATGATTAGTGTCTACTTGAACCTTTTTCAATCAACAATAAATTTTGGAAAAATTACTTAAATACACAATACTTCTTTACCTATTCTCAATATTTCCCTACTCTTTTACTAAAACACAAAAATCCCTTATTTTCCCCCAATTCAACTTAATCGGATACTTTATTAGTTTAAGTATCCGCCCATTATTAATTAAAGTATCCGCGCTGCTATATTATGCATCCGCCCGTTAATTAAGTATCCGTGCTGCTAACAACTTAATAATTTAAGTATCCACCCGTTATTAATTAAAGTATCCGCGCTGCTATATTATGTATCCGAAAAAACTAAAAAAAGGGATTTTTGGTAATTAATGAAAGAGTAGGAAAAGGAAGTAATTTCTTTCTTACACTATGTCATTTGCCTAATTTTTACATAAATTTTAGCTGCATCTTGCTCAACTCAATTAAGGGCTTTTTAGGAAGGGTGTCATCTGGGCCGAACAGGCCCATTAAGATGTGGCCCTGGACCACACTAGTTTTGGGCTAATGTTAGGTCTGGACGGGGATGGGCTTGGGTAAGGGAAAGGATGTTCGGCCCAACCTCCTACTCGGTTTAAGATGTTTAGTTTTTAATCGGATCGTACCAGGTTGGTGGGGCGGTTTTTGACTTTAAAAAAATAAATATATATATAAAAAGATAATCTAATAATACAATTAATATATGCATTTAATAGATTCGATCGTTGGAAAATTTTAAAATTAGTCATTGCCAAATTTATCGTTTTTAATAACTAGTCATTTCCAATTTAAAAAACTAGTCATTGCGAACTTTATTTTAACCTCTATATTTATTAAATTAGATTTTGGCCATGTATTAAAATTATAAATATCACTTCATTCTTTTTCGATTTTCACACAATTCGCTCTATCTATTTTGCTACTTTGCTATTCTACGTCAAAGTTTCAAGTTTCATGGATAATCCTCCTCCTTCTCGTCCTTAAAGATCAAGTGTGGTGTGGACATATTTTGAGCGATAGACAAAGAACATGTTAAATTTCAATTATGTGGTACAATTTCAATAGGTAAGCATAAGTCCAACTCTGAGTTAGGACCCTTGTACAATATGTAAGCATAAGTCCAACTCTGGTTTTAAAATATTGTGTTTCAGTGAGTTTAAGAGTTCAGTAGGAAAAGTTGTAAGTACAAGGGTCCAACTTACAAACGGAGTCAAGTATAAGGGTCTCCCAGGTCATTCCGTCATAATTTATGAATTAGGCACTTGGTGAAAAGGTACAAAGTCAAGAAGTTGAACTTTGAAGTTCAAAGTTTATATTTTGATTTGCAATGTACTAGTCATTTAAGTTTGTATCTTTCAAATTTGTAATGTTATCAATTTAAATTTGAAATTTTATGTTAATTATTTATATAACACTGTATCACTCTATGGATTTTTTAGAAATATATTTTTTAGGTTAGGTTTGTGGCATTTTCATTCCAAACTTCCAACAAGATATAAACAAATATAGAAATAGACACACAGATCTGAATATCAAGATGTTGCATTAAGATTTGAATACTAAATAGTTTAGACTATTTGTTTTCTCAACATCTAGTTGTATATATAAAAAAAAATAAAAAAAAATACTAAATTGATCTAATATATATTAATAAAATATTATAAAATATTATAAGACAATAGTGGTTGATAGTAGTGATTAATCGTAATTGTTGTTGGTGACAATTGATAATTAATAGTGAAATGATAATGATAACTAAAGACGGCGCTTAATGATGATGGCGGTTAGCGGTATATAGTGTTGACTAATGATGGTAAATTGGTAATTATCAATAGTGATTAGTGGATGTAATAATGATTAGTGGTGATAAATACAAATGTGGCTAATGGTGATGACAATTGATTTTGGTGATTGACGGTATTGGTGGTTGTGGTTGGGCAGATGATGGTGATTGTGGAAAGTAGGTGGTGGTGACTGATGATGGTGATAATTGGGGTTGAAATGGTGATTGTAGATGGTGGATGAAAGTAGATACAGTAGCAATGAAATGACATCTTTATACAAATTTTTAATCATTCGGGCATATTCAGATTTATTAGTGATTGTAAAACAAGAAAAACAAATGCACTTAATTACGATTCTGACCTCGAAAATAAACATATTTAATGACTAAGATTTGAATAATTAAAACAGGTATATTGTTGGTTCTTGGAAGCTTCATATATTCTTCAAAATAATTTGTTATTGGAACACTAATTGGCTTCAATCTCTGAAAAGAATATTAGGCCAATCATCCCACTGGGCGGACTACCAAATTGGACCTTGACAATCATCAAACTTGGAACTTTCATTTATTATTATTATCAATAACGAAAAATTAGTTATAATTTACTTTGTAAATATTAAATTCAATGAAACCATTATCCCATAAGGTTTCCCTTTGTCCATGTAGAAATCTATTCATTTTTAATTAAATATTTTTTTTTATACAAAGTTTATCAAGTTAGAAAGTGCTCAACTTCTAAGAGTTGAAGCTCTCAATATATGATATGTTTTTTTGTCTTTATTATAATGTTATTGAACTGGATAAGTATAATTGTGTAAAATGACGTTTATATTATATATTTCACATAAAACAAATTGTTGTCAGATGTTTATATCGAGACATGGAAAGATTCGAGAATAAAAATGAAAATTTGACTTTTTTTTTTTTTTAATTTGATTTGATTTGATAACAGAGAATTCAAATCAACCCGGTACATGTATATCCGTATAAGTGAGAGAGAACCTTATGAATGAATAACTAAATATTAAATCCTTCTTTTATTGAGACGTTTAAGCAACATCGACTAATCTATAGGCCATTATTGAATTTACCATAATACATATATTAATTGGTATATAATCTCAATGAACTTGAGGAAATGATTATTTAATGTTAAAAGTGAACATAACTTTTTTTTTTTTTAATCTTTATCTTAAAATGTGCTAAAGTAGATAAATAAAAATAAAAAATTATTTATAATATAATAGATAAATAAAAGTAAATAGAGAAAAGTAATTAAATTTGCAGTACAAATTCTAAACATTTTCCCTTCAACTTTAATGTTTATGGGGTAATTGATCTCAAGTATTAGAGTTGACAATTGGTGGGTTTGGTCAAATTTGATCGGATCAAAATGGATCAAAGTTCAATCCAATCTAATTAAAATTTGCTTGGATCAAAACTGGTCATAATTCAATCCATTCATATTTTACAAAATTTTAATTGCTTTATTTATTTTTTCGTAAATTTCCAATACCTAATTTTTTAAAAAAAATTATGATTAATATCGTGTGAGTCACTTTTGAACTACATATCAATCTAATTTTAAATAAGTTAAAATAAATTAAACGAATCAATAACTTATCGAAACTTAAACGAATTAGATTTGATTTTGCCACCCCAAAATATAAACCCGATTTATGACCAGTCAAATCTTTGATGTAAATTTAGGAAAGCCACCATCAGCCTCGTTGCCACCCATGACTCTAACCCCAACCTTTATGCGGAAGAAGTCAAAATTGGTCAATGGTCAAATATGACTACGACATCTATCTATTTATTGAAAATAAATAATAGTCATATCCATGCATATATACTTAAACACTTTAGCACGTTATATTATATCCCCTAGATATTAACAAAAACTTAGAAGGGTGACCAAGGTGATGGAGAACGAAGATCAAAGAGGAAGAAGAGAGAACAAATATCGAGGCATACGACGAAGACCATGGGGAAAATATGCAGCGGAGATACGTGATCCTAATAGGAATGGTGCACGTCTATGGTTAGGTACTTTTGAAACAGCTGAAGAAGCGGCTAGAGCTTATGATAGAGCTGCCTTTTCTTTAAGGGGCCATCAAGCCATTCTCAACTTCCCTAATGATGGACATTATCATATCAATAATAATACTAATGTACCTCTAGGTCTTGGATCGAGCTATAACGTTCCATCTACAATGGTGAACAATATGAACATGTCCTCTTCTTCTGCTTCTGCTTCGGCTTCGGCTTCTTCTAATCATCGACTTGATCATGGAGAGAAGGTTGAATTTGAGTATTTGGATAACAATCTTCTGGACGAGCTTCTTGCTTCACAAGTTCATCGCCATGATAATAAACGTCCTAAGTTTTAGATTGCTTCCAAATGCTTCAAATGTTCTTATTAATTTGTTATTTACTATTTTATTGTCTTGCTATTTCCAATTTATTTAATTTTTTCCACTAAAGTTTATGTCCAACTTGCTAGTATATCTCATGTTATTATTTTCGTCATCATCATTTCTTTAATTTGTTTCTATGTAATCACAAGTTAAGAGGATAACCCCTAACTAATAATTCCTCTTTTTATTGTTCTGATCTTCTCATAATTTAAAAGGAGGTCTACATTTCTCTGTGTCCAAATTAAATAAATGTATTGGCAAGAACAAGATATTAAAATGACAGATTTGTATATGACACTTTAATTTATTAGCCCAAATACTAAATTCTTACATTAGTTCTGCACAATTATAAGCATTTAACCATCTCCAATGAAGTTAATTTGTATAGGTCGCAAGTGAACATTTAAATTAGGAGTTTGAATATAACAAGAAATAACTTATATTTCTAAAACATGGTACATAGATCAGTGACATTACTTTATGTGGCTGTTTTGAAAGTGGGGATTGATATCCAAATCATTTTCAAGGGATGAAGTTTCAAGTATCTGATGAATAATTTAAGAAAATTAAGAGATTGACGAGGAAGTTATAGATAATATTAGAGCGGGGAGACTGAAATAGAATCTTGCATTCAGTATATTGTAAGATGAGAATGTGCCATCAAGCATAAGTTTTATAAAGTGATGGTCAATCATCTATGTTGTATTGGACGGAGTGTTGAGCAGTCAAGAAATCACACGTATGTCCAGAAGATGAAACTAACGAAAATGAGGATGTACTTGTGATGAATGTGTGGTATATTAATTAGGAGAGATATGATTAGAAATGAAGATATCTTTGACAAGGTAAGAGTGACTTCCGTGGTGAGCAAAAGGAGGGAGATGAGATTGTGATATGGTTCGAACATGTGAAAAGAAGATGCATAGACGCACCATTGAGGAAGTATGAGATATTAGTTGGTATGAGGAGAGGTAGAAGTAGACCGAAAAAGTACCAAATAGAGGTGGTTATACCACACATGAGACATCTACAATTTAGTGACGACATATTAGTTTCCTCATCAATATTAGTTTTATGAGTACTCTTTTACTATCTTATTCCTCAATTTTATTGTCTTCGTGACTTCAGTTATCATATTATTTGTTGTTGCTACTGTTCTTTTCTCCATCGATATAAATTTCTTACTGCTATGTTTGCTTTACATACTTGATTTTTTTATATGTTTTATTTGAGCCAATGACCTATCAAAAATCACCTTTCTATCTTTTCAAAATAAGAATAAAACTTTGTATACATCATACTCTCCCAAAGTTCACTCGTAAGGTTACACCGAATATTTATTTTCGTAAGGTGAAGAGATCACGAGCCGTTGTTCGAATCTTTTATTAATTCGGATTATTCCTGTTGAAGCTAGAATTGGGTGCAATTGTAAATTTGATATAAGTAAAAATTAAAAGAAACAAACGAAAGAATTGATTTACAAAGAGTGGCACATATGTTTATGCATGTCCTTATTCCTTAATTATTGTTAGGGACATACGAAGAATATAAAAATAATAATAAACAAACATAAAAATAATAGAAAAATAATACACATCACTACATCAGTGTAGAACTTCAAATAGGAACCCAACAAGTGAGATTAGCTCTAGTAGTTGAGCATCTAATTGATCAGTGGATTAAAGATTTGAGTCACTCTAAAGAGCAATGTGTATTGGTTCTCCTTTGAAAGAAAAGAAAAGTAGGAAATTTTCTTCTTTGGAAGATAATTTCCTTTTTGGGACACCCTATAAAATGCAGCTAACAAATATATATGTTTTGTATATTAAATATGAATAATATATAAATAATATACATATAGTATACAGTAATATACATAATATATATAATAATCATTGCATATTTTGTAAATCTTAGTAGGTGCCCGTAAGTAGTTTCTTTTTATGGGTCAAAAAAGAAAAAGGTAAAAAACCCTTAAATAATTGATCAAATAGATATTGAGCGTCTTGTTAGATTTAACTTTCTAATTGGACTTCAATAATTAAAGAGTTTATAATTCGAATAAAAAATTACATGTAGCATGAGCAATTTTACATAACCAAAGGTTTGTTGTAAAAATTGTTGGAATAATCCAGAACACAAAATTCTTCGAAGCTTGAGGTATATCAAAAGTCTGGAATCAAAACATTCTCAATCGATGTGGGAGGAATAATTGAGTACGAATCGCAACAAGGGATGTCTATATCAACCACAACAGCTAACACAATCTAATAAGAATACAAGTAACTTGACCACAATAATTAGTCATATGGGATAATCTTAATCAACAAATAAGAATAAAAATCACTATGATAATTCGATAATCGATACGGATAGAAAAAGGGAGAGTGTTAAAGATAATGATCAAATATGGTAGTTACTCTACATAGTTATAGCATACTAGGAGTGCACAAGCTATGCATAAGTAGAGTTCTGTTGTACCTAGAATTACTTTAACAAAAAACTATAGCCACGTGTTTTTTTTTAATCCTTTTCAGAGTTTCAACCCATATTTTAGCTTTAAATATCTATTTTAAATCTAATTTTTATTTCATTTTTAGTAAATTTTACTTGAAAAAATTGAAAACCACAAAAATAGTCTTTAGATAATACTTTTATTTTCGATTTTTAAGTAAAAGGAAAAATTAGAAAAAAATATTTTTCTTTGATTTTTTCTTATATTTAATATTTCAAGTAGGATTTTTATTGTTGGTTATTTTCAAAATGAAAATAAAAATTGAACTCAATGCCATGTTGTCACGCGGTAAATTTCATCCTAATTTTTATCAAAAACATAACTTCATAGAAGAAAAGAATATTCTATTCTTTCTCCCTAAACTTTTTGATCTTATCCAAAATTCATAAGGATATATTAGGACGATTAGACTCCAAAATATAGACACCAAACCCACTATAAATAAAAACCTATAGAACCTAGAAACTCTCTACTACTCCATGAAAAACCATTCAAAATTTCAATTTTTCTCTAATATAGAACCACCTTAAAACATTGTTATTGCAATTTTAAAATTAGTTGACTCCACCATGTAAACTTCATCTTCTTCTCCATAGTTTTCGTTTTTTTAGGGTTTCGATTCAAGGTTCTTTTTTATTCTTTGGAGTTTCGAAAGATGTCGTCTTGACATGAAAACTCAATTTTTTTTACTTTGTTTGTTGATTAATTGGTCTTTATGTTGTGTAATTATCTGAAGTATGAATACAATTTTATTTTAAATGGTTAAATTGATGAAGTCTGATTATCACATTTATCCTAAGCATGAAAAAATTGGCTGCTAAGCAAGTTAAATAAGAACTTGACTCACTAAACTATCAATTCTTACATGCTTCCTAGGCAGTGGCGAATTCAGGATTTAGAGTTCGTGGGTGTCAAATAGACTTATCGATTAAATTAATTTTATATTTGATTGAATTATTCGTCTTTTCGATATATATCATAAATCAATCAATAAAATATAAATAATAAGATATTACACTTTTATTAAGTATTTAATCAAATAAAAGAAAAGTCAAAAGAGTAATAATGTAATTAATTTAATTTAAGTCAATAACAATTATAAAAAAAATAAAAAATTGTGCCAGCTGTTTTTCCTTAAAAAAACGTGCTTGGAGCTTTTTCTTTTCTTAAAAAATGTATGCAGCAAATTTCTCAAAAAAATAGGTACAAATGGGATTCAAACCCGCAGCATCAGCCTTCTAAAGTTGCCCTCCTACCGTGGCACCACAAGCCAATTTTGTTCTATGAATGACACGCTTTATATTTATATAAATATTATATGTATATACCTATGTATATATAGAGTTTCCGTCGAAGTTCGGGGGTGACATGGCACCCCCACAATCCTTCATAGATCCGCCACTGTTCCTAGGATATATGTGATAATCAAGCTCATTGTGGTAACATAAAAAATAAAATTTCATCCATACTTCAAAAAATTACAATGTAGAAGACAAATTAATAAATAAACAAAGTCAAAATTGTACCTTTATGTTAAGACGATGTGTTTTGAAACACCAAATATAAAAAAAAATTGAACTCTCGACGAATAAAAAATCATGGGGAAGAAGATAGAGTTTACAAGGTAGAGTCAACTGATTTTAGAGCTACAACAACAATGTTTTAAGGTGGTTCTCTTTTTTATTTTGGTGTCACGACTCATCCCTTTTTTTCTAGGTTTTATAGGTTTCTATTTATAGTTTCTACTAGATGTAGGGTTTAGTGTCGATATTTTGGAGTCTAATTTTCCTAATATGTCTTTATGAATTTTGGATAAGATCAAAAAGCTTGTTAAGGAAGAATGAAATATTCTCCTCTCCTATGAAATATGCTTTTGATAAAAATTGAAATGAAATTTACAACGTGACAAGATGTCATTGAGTTCAATCATTTTTATTTTTATTTTTTTGAAAATAACTAACAATAAAAATACTACTTGAATATTAAATATAAGGAAAAAAAATCAAAGAAACATATTTTTAGTAATTTTTAAAAATCGAAATCAAAAGTATTGTTTAAAAAGACTATTTTGAGGTTTTTAAGTTTCTCGAGTAAAATATACTAAAAATGAAATACAAATTAAATATTTAATGTTAAAGAATGGGTTGAAACTCGAAAAGGGTAAAAAATCAAGTGTCTACAAAGACTACTTGTGTACTTGTGTGTATATATACTAGTTACGGTAGCCCGTGCTTTGCACATGCTCAATAACATTAACTTTTATAGCAATTAGTTATATATTTTATAATATGTGGGTAATATTCATATTTGAATACATTGATATTTTAAAAGTGAGCGAGAAAACAAGTTATAAGTTATTTTTCAAAATTGAAATATAATGTAAAATTAAATTTTAAATTTTCACGATCAAACACATATTTTTTTAATTAAAATAAAATCTATTATAAACATAACAGGT